GATGGCTGCATGGGGCTGCTGCTGCTGCTGCTGCTGCTGCTGCTGCTGCTGGTGCTGGTTGCTGATGCTGCTGGGGCTGCTGGGGCTGCGGCAGGCCGCCGAAGGACTCCCCGACGTGCAGCTCGCTTGGACTTGAGGCTCATGCGCGGGATGGCGCGGCCCTCGAGCCTGGAGTTCTCCTGCGCGCGGAGCTTCACCTTCTTCCTGGCCTTGACCTGGTAGCGGCGGAACCTCTTCTGGATCTGCTGCTCGAAATTCGCGTTGGCGCATGCGGCTCCTCTCGTTGTAGCTCCTCTTGGCCTCCTCCGATCGGGTAGCTCGCCACTTGCGGCCCTGGGCCTTGCATCTCTCACGCTCCTTCTGGAACTCTTCTCCTGCCCCAACAAGCAGGTGCAAGTCTGCTTCGTGGTGGCCGTCAGGTAGGCAGCCTTCCTGCAGAGTGTCCCCACGAGGCGGACCGTCGACTTGACCGATCCTCCTCGTTCTCCTCCTCCTCCTTCTCCGCCTCCTCCTCCTCCGCCTCCCTCTCCCTCCTCCTCCTCCTCCTCGGAGGAGGAGGAGGAGGATGTCCCGCGCCCCCTCGCCCCTCGTGCTTCCCTCCGCCCGGGCGGGGAGGCGGTTGCCCCGCGACCCCCCCCCGCCGCTGAACGGAGGAGCGAGGCCGACCATGGCACAAAGCTCTTCCCCTGCTTCGTGGACACCGCAGCGCCCTCGGAGGTTGAGCACAAATTTAGCTGTATCCTGGTCGGTGGTTCACTACCAAAGCATCTCTTCGGCGCAGCTCGAGGATGTTCGCCCACACAATGGCGCCAATGGACCAATGCCTCCTGCTGTCGTGTGTTGCCTCTAGCTCCTGTCGGCATCCACCCACAGGTCGGGCACTTGAGGTGTGACCCCCGTCCCTGAGGCAAGTCGATCGCGGCCAACTCCTTCCCCTCGGGCGTGTCATCCTCCTATGGAATTCCAAGCAGGCTGCACGCCTTCTTGGATGCACCTCCTTGTCGAAGTATCTGATGCGTTTCTTCGACTCCAGCAGCCGCCTCGCCAGCTTCCTCTTCAGGTTGATGGCCAGCCACTGTTCCGTCATCTACTTCCCCTTCCTCTCTTTCTCCATCTCCTTCACCTTCTTCCGATGCCCATTCTTGGGAGTTTCCTTCACAATGCCCGCCGAGAGGATGATGCCCTGCTTCTGCGAGTCCTGCGGGTTCACCTCCAATTTCGACACCTCCGACGCCTGCAGGGCCTGTAGGTCGAGCACCTGCGCTGGCGCCGGTTTCGAGCAGAGGCATCACTCCGCCCTGAAGCCGAAGTATACGTGGCGGCAGCGTTCGGGCTCTGCCATTTCTGGATCCAGATGTTGCCCACCTTGCCAGGCGGTGGAGCCATGACCTGGTCCTGCGAGCCCTTCTTGTGGCCCTTGTCCTTGATCCAGACTCCCTCCGGTAGCCGACGCCTCCGCGGCGGTGTCCGTGGGCGCCTACTCGCATACTCCCCGCGAACCTCAAGGATGCACGCGCCTGTAAGGACCCTCTGCTCGATCAGGGTGTCCTCGATGCCGCAGCCCAGCCGAGGCCCAGTCGTCGTCATCGCACACGACCACGCTGACGGCCTCCGCCCTGAAGCCGCTCGCGGAGCTCTTCGGCCTCTCCCCGAGCTGCTCCGTCGGCAAGCTCGCGCCGACGTGGAATTGGAGCATCAGCGCGCTGAGCCGGGCGCCGTGGCCCGCCTCCGCCGCGCCGTCCTGAAGAGCGCGGCAGCAATCCAAGTCACCTGGGCCAGGACGGCTAGGAGGAGGAGGAGGAGGAGGAAGAGGAGGAGGAAGGAGGGGGACGGGGCTCTCCCTTCCCTCCATGGCGGAAGGGGCTCCTCCGCTTTCCCCTCCCTATTCTTCCCCGATGGAGTGGAGGAGGCCGGTTTTGCGGCCGACGCTCTCTGCTGATCTTGCTCGGCCTACGCAGGCGCTGCAGAGGCTGACGTCACAGCACAATCTGCGTCGGTTCAGATTTCAGGCTCGGTTGTAGCTCCCATTTTAAGTATTGCTTTCCAGCGCGCTGACTGAGTTGTACCAGAAAGCGTGTGCCAAAAAACCGTGCGCATGTGATATGTATGGGTGTGTTGTCCAGTCACTTGCGGCGAGCCCCGACAGCGTGCCAGCACAGCATCGCCTCGCATGCAGGATCGTTATACCCAGTTCTCCTGAGGGGGTCTCGGTAGAAGCATCATTTTAATGTGTTGCCGTCTGGATCCTTCTGGCAGAAGTGCTGCGATAGTGTAGCGTTGGCATGTCTGCAACGCTGCATGCGTGTTGCGTTGCTTATTGGTGGCATCTAAGGGGGCTCTCAGAGGCCCTCTAGGGTATCTCATGGGGCCCATTCGGTGCCGTCTTGGACGCGATGTTCATGCCGATTTCTTCGAGTAGGCTTGGTAAATCGAGATTGGTGCCGTTGTTCTGGCCTCAGGGCCGCATTGGAGCCTTTTTGGAGCAGGCATGGGCGGCATCGGGGAGTTATCGCGCCGTACTGGGCCGTCCCTGGGGCTTATGGGGGTCCCCAGAAATGGTCGGAAGCAAACGACACTAAAAGTAGTCGTTCATTGCGTGCGACCTCCCAGGGCCTTGCTGGAGGCCTCTTGGAGGGCCTCTTGGGGACGCTCATTAACACAGCGAGCGCCAGGCTCAAACGGTACCCAAGGTTTGCCACCACACAACCTCTCCGCAGGGGCCACCAGGTGCCCCTGGGCCCCATGCAGTTTGGTCGCCAGATCATGCACGGGACCCCGACCTGGCACCCAGGCGCATTCCGCGCGTTCCCGCACGAGGGTGGTGCGGCGGGCTTCAGGTCCAAACAGCGGTGCGCCCCACTACCCTTGACAACATTAAACTAAAAAGTGCGCGCACAACAGATTCGTATGCTGGGTATTCTGGGTATTTGTGACATTGCGTGCGAAGTAGTTGTTGGCCCCCCCTCTCCAGCCGTCGGTCATCGTAGAACTTCGGAGTCGCATAGGCCCAGACCGCGTTTCGCCCTGCTTCGACATTCACGGGGGCTACATTGATGGTTTATGGGGCTAAGGGGGGCGCCATGGCAGGGGCGCGTCAGCACTTGTTGGGATCATGTTTGCCCAGAGTTGCAGGACCGTCCCAGTCACATTCCGTGCGTGCTCGCTCCAGGGTGGTGCGTCCCAGGTCTAGAAACTGATGCGTCCCAGGAGCGTTCCGGGTACACTCCGTGCGAGGCCGCTCGAGGATGGTGTGCCCGCCAAGTCCGATGATGTTTCCCAGCCTCGTTCCAGTGCGCCTGAGGTCCAGACAGTGGCGCCTCATTTAGCCGCGAGGTGCATGTTGTAGTGTTTTTATCCCACCCTCCTTGGTTGGGCATTCGTTTTGAATAGAGCACTGCGGTCGCGCCTGTTCCTTCTCCTTCTCCTTCTCCTCCTCTCTTCCCCCGCCTTGTGCGCACCTCTTGTGTGTGCATCTTGTTTGTTGTACCTCTTGTGTGTGCATCTTCCTTGGGGGGCTGCGATCTGCGAAACTGTCGCCACGTTCGAGGGCTGCTGGGGGGGAGATGGCATAGTGGGTAGCCGCCGCAGACCCAAATTAGACCTCGCCATCCCTGGGGGGCTGCGATTTGCGAAAATGTCGCCAGTTTCGAGGGCTGCTGGGGGGACAGCATAGGGGGCAGCCGCCGCGGACCCCAATTAGACCCCGCCATCATATGGGGGCCTGCGATCTGCGAAACTGTCGCCACGTTCGAGGGCTGCTGGGGGGGAGATAGCATAGTGGGTAGCCGCCGCAGACCCAATTAGACCTCGCCATCCCTGGGGGGGGGCTGCGATCTGCGAAACCGTCGCCACTTTCGAGGGCTGCTGGGGGGGCAGCATAGTGGGTAGCCGCCGCGGGCCCAAATTACACCTCGCCATCCCTGTGGGGGCTGCGATTTGCGAAACCGTCACCACTTTCGAGGGCTGTTGGGGTGACCAAAATAGTGGGTAACCGCCGCGGACACAAATTAGACCTCGCCATCCCTAAGAGGCTGCGATGTGCGAAACTGTAGTGTGTGGGCGAATTCCCTCCGCGCCCACTACCCCCAGGCTCATCCAGCAACGATGCCCAGGGGAGAATGGAAATCGATAGTCACACAATGAGCAATTGGGCCAGGAACGCTGAACTTATAGGGTTCTGGGAGCCCATTGGTAACACCCAGGCGTTGGGGGGGGGCGCTTCTTTTTGGGGTCGTGGCGGTCGTCTTGATGCCATCTTGGGTGCCATCGATCCGAAAAGGGGAATCCTAAACCAGGACCCACCGCTTGGAGGCTTTCGTGGCCGTCTCGGAGCGTTTCTGAGTTTTTCTTGGGGTTCTGAAGGCGATCGCGAAGCCATTCTGTGGCTCCAGAGCACCATCGTAAGCGAAAGCGTGAGGGTTGAATAATTATTTTTAGAAAAAATCTTGATACATAATATAATAAAATATATTCTTACCGTACAATAATAGGAATACACAAACAGATACCTGAAACAACAAACAGCAAACAACATATGTGTTGAATGAGTGTGGCATCTCTGGGTCATCATTGGGAGGTTCCGTAGCCGCTTGGAACCGTCTTGGGGCCCAGGGGGCGTACAGGAGCTCTTCTGGCTCCATGCCAGAAAGCATCTTGTGCATCTCTGCGGTGTCCGAGGGTGGATTTGGAGGCCTGGCGTATTTGGGAAATGCGCCAGGGAGTTCGTATCCCCACCCGCTTCGATTCAAACGGCAGTCTGGACCCGCGGAGAAGGGAACGGGGAAGGGGATTCATTTCTTCGCAGATCCGTGATTGAACGCTCGACAGGATCATGTATGCTGGTCAGACTGGGAGTCAGACACCGCCTTCCCAGTAGATGTCCCCCCCCATGTCTCTCGTATTCTGGGAAGCCTCCGGAGACCCACGAGTAGATTCCTTGATAGCGGGATCGCCATGAGGCGAAAGGCAGTTGTGTCGATGGATGGTAGCACGAAGCGTGCCATCGACATGTATTGGGCTTCGAGCTTCACGCATCCAGGACCGCTTGGTGATTAATGCCTGTTAGTTTCTAGATTGCGTGTCTCACTGTATAAACCCCACATATGTAGCAAGTTCGGCTTAGATATGAGTTGGGTCACGCGCGCACGCTGCAGCTTTCAGTCGATTGTCAGGCCATATCGTTAACCCCATTCGGCCTGATGGTATTGGCCCAGTTGCCGGTAGCGAAGATCTTCTGGCTTGGCGTGAGGCAAGCCGCGAGGCCCATCTCAAAGGTAGCAACATCATTCGCGGAGCGCAGCGACGGCTTCCAGAGCTGTTGCGTTGCTGTGTCCAGGCTCGTGCCTTCCAACCGCGTCAGCGTGCCCAGGGAGGAGGCCGTACAGAGCGGGTGCGCAATATTGGGCGAGGCCGTGGTCTTCGGGGTGTCGGGAGCGGTGCTCGCATACGAGTACGTCAAACAGAAGGAGGCCGAACGCGCCAAGGAAGATACGCTGCAGCGCAAGGCGTCCGAGGAGAGGATGGCGCTGCGTTGGGAGCTGCGGCGGCTGGAGGAGAGGCTGCATCAGCAGGGCGAGGCTCTCGAAGCCCTTCGCAAAGTCGTGGACGGCAAAGCCACACCGTTGACCCGATGATGCCGCGAGGACTCGCGCTGAGCTCGATTTAGAAGTGGCTGTCGATTGCTGGTATGCGATATCACAATCTAGGAGGTCGCCATTGCAACACTAGAAAAAGGGCTGTTCCACCCCACTTCATCCAGACATACCATACCTCACATCCTCCACCTGGATTGTTGTTCTCGTCGTCATCATCGTCATCCTACGCAGCATCGTCCTCACTGTCCACTTCTTGCCACTCATCCCTCTCCGCATACCCCACCTCGTCCCCATCCTCTTCCCCCTCCTTCACTATTGGTGGCGGCCGTGCCCGTTCGCCTCCTCCCCCTCATCCTGCTTCCCCTCCTGCTGCTCCCCGTCCTGGTCCTCATCCTGCTCCACGTCCTGCTCCTGCTCACCTTCATCTTGCTCCCCCTCCTCTTCCTTCTTCTCCCCCTCCTCTTCGTGTCCGTCATACTGCGCACCATTTGTTGTGTACACCGACAACCTATTCATTCTCGCGCACACTGTCGCACATGCATGCGCTGTCCATACTGGGTTTGAAAACGCGTTCGAAAACGCATTGGCCGAGTCCGGCACGAGTCTGCCAATGAGCCGAACGGCATGGATATCCCAGGATCCTGGGCACACCAGCCATTCTTGGCCAGGGGAGTCGGGTCTGGCTTTCAACAGGCATCGTCGATGCTTGGGAGTCCACCTCAACGCATTCGGCAGAACGGAACACTATGTGCGATACAGAGCGTATTCAATGCGCTTGGGCATTGCAAAAGTTCATGGTACGTTGTCTTGCCAGTCATCTACGAAAGAGAGCCGGTTGAATCTCTTCCACCAGGTCCCAGTGGGCATGGGGACTTGGCATCGCCGGTGTGGACACCGAATCCGAAAGTTTTGCAACGCATCCGCGAGGTCCGTAATGCATGTTTCCTCAAGTACCTCCAGCCTTCCCCGAAGGCGAGATGAAGCTGGTGAGGGTAATTATGCACGGATGCAGCGCGAAGCGCTCCGCGAGCAGAAAACTAGGTCCGGAACCGTCGGCCTCGAGGTCGGATCGCAGGCCTAGAGGTTGACACCAACACCAAGATCGGCGGTGTGCCTCCACCGAGGGAAGACGATCCCGATCTCGGTGATGGTGGTAATACTCTGGCTGCCAAGGTGACCGAAATATTACCACCAGCACCGAAATCTAGGATCATCTTCCCCCTGTGCAGGCAATGCCTTCAGGATTTGCCAGCATGCTGGGCACATGGCCTGGCGTTGCCAGAAGGGCCCAGAATTTGTCAGAAGCCGAGTTCTACGATGGAACCGGCATGGAGCTGCAACTCAAAACCGCCGCCTTGGTTCAGGCGGACGTTATGACAAGGTCTCTTGATAATGTTCAATGACTCACACTGAGAATTGCTAAATCACCCGATGTTTCCTGTTTCGGACGCGGGGTAGGTTGGTTCGTACCGGCGCAAAACCGTAGCAGCTAGAAGGCAGCGGAACCAGAGATTCTACAATGTTGTTTAGGAGGAGGAGGAGTTGTTCGCATTGCTGTCGGTGTCGGGCCTTCAGGCCTCTCGGCCCCTCATGAGACAGTTTGTTGTTCTCCCCCTCCTCATGTTGCTCCTCTTGTTTCTCCTTCTTCACGCTGCTGGCCGATGTCTCCAGCGAGCACTCTTGCCAGCTGTGCGCCTCCACCTCAGCTTGCCGATGATTGTTGCCACCGCCGCCAACGTCAGATTGCTAGGAGGGGAGCTGCATCATCTTAGGGTAACATGCGCATGTTTTGCCAACGGGCCCATCCGCGACTCCACCCTCCTCGCCCTGCTGTTGCCTCCCTCCGGCTCGAGGCTGAGCTGCGGAGTTTGTGGGGCTCGATCCAAACCGTTGGCAGTGCCCGGGCGAGGCCGCCCAGCCGCCATGCAGATCTTCCTCAGGACGCTCGAGGGCGACACGGTGGCGTGCGAGGCCGCGGCGGGTGACCTCGTGGGCAGCCTCGGGCAGCACGCGCTCGTCTTCGCGGGCCAGGACCTCCGCACCGACAGCACCCTCGCGGCCTGCGGCGTCGAGGACGGGTCGACGCTCTTCGCCGTGGCCCGCCTCCGCGGGGGCGGCGACGGCACTCCGGCGATGGGCAAGAAGCACAAGAAGAGCCACGGCCTCTGCCCGCGCTGCGGCAGCGGGGGGGCCAGAAGCCACGTCGTCGCAGGCGTTCGGAGTCGACCCACTGGGCGGTGAGCTGCGCCCTGGGCGCGCGCAACCTGCGTGGTGCATGCGCTGTGGTGCAAGCTTCCTGCTGCAAAGTGTGTGGGGGGCAGGCTCTGTGCCGCGCACCGTGCGGCACGAGCCGTGGAGCGCAATGTGTGTGTGGTGCAAGCTGTATAGGGGCAGCTTCTGCTTGCAATCTATGGGGGGGGCAGTATATATGCGCATCCAGAGGCGCCAGCCAGCGCAGGCGACGGGGCGCAAAGCGGAAGCACCGAGCAAGCGCACAGGCGCCCACGAGGCGCCTAGTTCGGGGCAAATCTCGGGCGTCCGTGGACGGCAGCCCGCACCCCCCGACGGCGGCGAAGGCACCGCCCCTGGCGCGCGTGGGGAGGTGAGCCAGCGCCGGCGGAAGTCCCAGTACTCCGAAGTTCGTGTGCACTGTGATTGCCTGGCCCCCCCGAGGCAAGCGCTCCTTCCACCTGCAGAAGAAGCGCTGCGCGGCCTGCGGCTACCCCGCCGCCAAGATCCGCTCCTACGAGTGGTCCAAGAAGTCCAAGCGCCGCCGCGCCCCGGGCACCGGCCGCATGAAGCACCTGAAGACCATGCTTAAGTCGGGCGTGTCCCTCTACAGGAGGAACATTCAAACGTAGTCAAAAAATAGTCCGGGGACTATTGTTTGAGTATTTGTTGACCATCTTGACATATTTTGCGTTTTTCATTCTTCGCCTAAGATCCCCCTGGAAGGGGACAGGCCCGACTTAAGACCATGCCCCGCCGCTTCAAGAACGGCTTCCGCTCGGGCACGACCGCGCCGGCCCGCAAAAAGACGGCCGCGAGCTGAGCCGGCCGGGGCGCGCGCACGCAGGGCGCGCATACGCCGGGGCGCCCGCGGGCACCCGCGGCAGGAGAGGCCCGGCCCCAGCGCGCCGGACTCCGCACGGGGAGGGCTGCCGAGCGCCCCCAAAGCTGCCCCACCTCCTCCTCCTCCTCCTCCTCCTCCTCCCCTCCTCCTCCTCCCTCCTCCTCCTCCTCCTCTCCTCCTCCTCCTCCTCCTCTCCCTCACCTCCTCCTCCTCCTCCTCCTCCTCCTCCTCCTCCTCCTCCTCCTCCTCCTCCTCTTCCTATGCTCCCCTCCCGTCGCTCCCAGCCCTCTTCCTACCCCCAGGAGGAGGACGACGAGGGCTGCCGAGCGCCCCCAAGCTGCCCCACCTCCGCTCCTCTCGGGCCGGGCGAGAGGCTCGGCATCGCTCGGACGTGTGCATGTTTCCTTCGGCGAGGACCATCGAGGAGCATGCTTGATCCTTTGGCGAAAAAAACCACGCACGAAACGGAAAAAAACACAGGGAATGGACGTCCGAGCGATGGCCAGAAGGGGGGGACTGGGAAAGGGGGGGGTACGAAATCTGCTGCATGCAGCTGGTTTCGGCCCCGCCGCGGGGCCCATGCCTCGATACATGGGCGCCTCCCGGCACCGGGAGGCGCCGGGAAAATCAGCTACGTGAGTTGATTCTCAAACCCCCCCTTTGCTATCCCCCCCTTTCGCCCGTCCCGATTCTCGAAGAAGGAGCAGAAGAAACAGCGGCAGAAGCATAAACTTTTTGCGCTCCGCGCGGATGTCTTGGATCTGCGCTGGAGCGCCCTGGCGCCGCCCCCGGCGCCGCCCCTGGTGCGCTGCGCGCGGTGCAGCGCGGATCCAAGGAATCCGCGCGGAGCGCCAAAAGTTTATGTGTATGCCGTGTGCTTATTTGTTTTATTTTCCCCCTGAGATCCCGGCGTTGCAACTGTTGGTCCAGGACTCGAGCTAAACGTTGCTTTGGCGATTCCGTGAGCCGTTTTCGTTTTGATCCCGCAGCAAAGGCAGAACAAAAGAAAACGAAGACCAAACGAAAACGCAAAGCACTGCTTAGCTCGAGCTTTGCTTTTTTCGCACCGGGCGTTTTCGCCCATTTTCAGGCCCTAGGACCACATCGATCCGGCTCGGAAAATGCCGCGAAGAGATTGGGTCCAGGGTTCTCGTCGTGGTCCAGCTTGCCCCGCCACCCCCTCCTCTCGGGTGTTGACGGCAGTGGTCCTGGCCCCAAGGTGTCTCCAGAAATGCTCTGGGGGCCCACCGGGGCCACCCCTCGCCAAAGGCCAGAGGACCCCCGCGAGGGTCGAGAAGAGGGCTGGGCCAACCACATCTCCTTGGCGGCGGCGGTCTTCCTATTGGGTCGCCGCAGGAGGTTTGACGCAGCAACCTCCCAGGATTGCGGGCGAGATCTCGAGGATTGCCTCTGGCTCTGAGGACGCATCCCTGAGGTTGTCGTCGTTGTTTGGCGAATCGCTCTAGGGACACAGTGCCGTTTTTTTATACATGCTCCGCGTGCGGATCATGTATTAAAAACGCAGGGATTTAGCATTCCAAACAACGAGGAGTTCATGCATAAATTGAACCATAAATTAATCATGTACTCAAAGTCTTATATGTTTAAAAATCCTATGTATTGAAAACTGCCCTGTAGGGATGTGCTCGAGGCTGGTTAACGGACTTTCCCTCGAAGCCCTTCGTTGAGGACGCATCCCTGAGGTTGTCGTCGCTGTTTGGCTAATCGCTCTAGGGATAGGGGGAGGAGGAGGAGGAGGAGGAGGAGGAGGGAGGAGAGGAGGAGGAGGAGGAGGAGGAGGAGGAGGAGGAGTGGTAGGGATGTGCTCGAGGCTGGTCATAACGGACTCTCCCTCGAAGCCGCGGCCTGCGGGCCGAGGCGGAGGAGGCGTGCTCCAGAGCCGGCAGGGCGGCCCCGTTGGCCACCCCAAGGCCGCGTGGGGCAAGGCCCCAGGGCGGCTCTCGAGGCTCCAGAGTTGTCCAGGAGCTGGGGGCTCCTCCTCCGCCTCCTCCTCCTCCTCGCCTCCTCCTCCTCCTCCTCCTCCTCCTCCTCCTCCTCCCCCTCCTCCTCCTCCTCCTCCCTCCTCCTCCTCCTCCTCCTCCTCCTCCCTCCTCCCTCCTCCTCCTCCCTCCTCCCTCCTCCCTCCTCCCTCCTCCCTCCTCCCTCCTCCTCCCTCCTCCTCCTCCTCCCCTCCCTCCTCCTCCTCCTCCCCCTCCTCCTCCCCCTCCTCCTCCTCCTCCTCCTCCTCCTCCTCTCCTCCTCCTCCTCCTCCTCCTCCTCCTCTTCCCCCGCCTCCTCCTCCTCCACCTTGGGACACCCTGGGGCCCAGTTGGTCGAGCCCGGTCGGCCGCCAACGGGCCATGCATGGAGCCCACTGGGCGGGCGAGCGGCCCAGGTTCATTCCCGCCGTCCTGTCAGAAGCGAAGCCAGGCGGCTGCCAATGCCTCAGCCGAATAGGCTCAAAGGGAATATTGGCACTTGCCCTGCCCCTGCCGAGGACTGCGCTGCCACGCCTTGCTTTGTCGCACTGTGCATTGCCAGGGGGGGCCTGGCTCTGCGACGTGATGGGCACGACTTTGCCCCGCGCTGCCACAGTTTGACGCACGCGATGCCTTACGCCTTTGTACTTCTCCTTCTATTGGCCTGCGCCATCTTGATCTGCCCGCTCTTGCTTCGCCCTGCTCTGCACCGGCTTTCCATGGGCCCGCCTAGCATGCTTCGTAAAACCACGCTCTGCCCCCCCTTGGCCGGCTCCCCGCTCTCACCTACACATCCCCCCCGCCCATCCCCTTCTCTCGTCCCACAACACGCCCCATCATCCCCCCTCTCCACTTGATGTAGTGCGACAAGTCAGCGTGCGAGCCACAGGGCCAGTTCGAAGTCAAGCAATACGAGAACCGATGAGGGGATTGCACGGCAGGCCAGGAAGAACTCGAGGGTGCACGTTAGGGGTTAGGAGGCAGGTGGGAAGGGCACTGGCCCGAGCGAACTGCAAATGGAGAGAGGCAGCTCCGCTGGCCGTCGATCCGGACCCCGTGCATGTTTGTGCGCGTCGGCGCGCGCGCAGCCACAGACGGGCGCTCCCCCGAGCGCCTCGCTGGCTCCCGCTCCTCCCCCGCCTCCAAAGCTCGGACGGGACCTGGATGAGGTGTCCTCCGTTCCAGAGCATGCTGGCGCGCTCCGAGAAGGCCGCGGCGCCCAAGGCCTCCTCCCGAGCCGCCGGATCTCAGAGGTTCTCTGTGTGGGTCCTCCCCCGACGGTGTCCTCGCCCAGGCTTCGTCCCATCCCGCTCCGCCCCCGCCTCTGGAGCCATGGCCCCGGACAGGGGCCCGGGCGAGCCCGCGGAGGCGTACGCGGAGCGCTTGCAGCGCCACCTGCGGTGGCAGGACGCCGAGCTCGCGCGCCTCCGCGGGCGCCTGGCTGCGGAGGAGTCAGGAGGGGCAAACAAAAACAGGCACAATGAATCGTCGATCCCCCCGAAAGTATTGGAGAATATGTGAAAGGGTGGGGGGGGGAAGACGAAAACCCAGAAGAGCTATGTGAAAGTACGTGAGAGTATCTGAAAAGATGTGGCATGTTGTGAAATATGTATACTTGTTTGTGGGTTCCTGGGCCCCTTGCCCGGGGCCACTGTGAGGGCCGCGAGCGGCCGGGCGGCGCGGCGGCGCCGAGGTGCTGCTCGGGGTGCGGCGCCGCGCCCCTGTCGGCGGCGGCGGCGCTGGCGGCGCTGCTGCCCTGGCCGCTGTACAGGCTGCCGGTCTCGGAGGCCTCCTGGCTCGTGCAGGCCGTTTCGGAGCTCTCTGGGGGGGGCTCCGGTCTTGGAGGCCTCTTGGCTCGTGCAGGCCGTTTCGGAGCTCTTTGGGGGGGCCTCCGGTCTTGGAGGCTTCTTGGCTCTCCGGTCTTGGAGGCCTCCGCTGTACAGGCCTCCGGTCCTAGAGGCCTCTTGGCTCGTGCATGCCGTTTCGGAGCTCTCCGGGGGGGGCCTCGTGGCCCCTCTTGGGAGCCTCCTGGCCCGTCTTGGGAGCCCCCTGGGCGAAGAGGCCACAAGCAGGCACGTCTCCCCAAGGGAGTGGGGCCGTGGCAGTGGGCATATGTGCCCTCGCGGGGCCCCTCCTGGGCCGTCCTGGGAGCCCCTTGGGCGAAGATACCAGAATCGGGGGCCCCCAAACGGGGCGGTGACCACACCGTGCGGTGAGTCGGTGGGGGTTCGGGGTCACCGCACGGTTTTGGGACTCGGGTCGTTCTCCGAGGACGTCTCGGGCGACTGGAGCCTCCAGGGTCCCAAAACCGTGCGTTGACGGACCGTACGGTGAGGTCTTCGGGGATTTCGAGGTCACCGCACGGTCTGTCACCGCACCGTTTCGGGACTCCAAACAGAAAGACGCGCTTCCCTTAGGGAGTGGGACCAGGAGCATGTGCCCTCGAAGCAAGCGAGATGCGCGTGTCGAGAGGGGGCGTGCCAGAGTCCCACGCAGGGCTGCGGCATCTGCAGCAGGCGTCCGACTGTATGCACCCCCGAGCACAGAGCCGAGCCGAGAGCCCTCTCGCCACCCCCCCCCTGCCAGCCGAGCCCCCTCCCTCCCCCTCCCCATTCCCCTCCCCATCCTCCCCCTCCCCCCCTGCTCCTCGACCACCCCGACCTCGAGAGTTGGCGTTTACGAAACGGCCCCGAGCGTTTACTTCTGGACAGCCCTGCCCTGTTCGATTCCTTCCTTGGCCGCATTTGCGAGACGGCTTCGCTTGTGGAGATGCTTATCATGAGGGTCGGTGTCCTGCTCCTTCTCTCTAGGGATGGAGCTACACGGTGTTTTGGCGCTCCGTGGACCGTCTTCGTTTTCATGTCGGCTCGCGGCCACGGCAGCGCGAGGACAGAACGAAGGAGGCCAGAAACAACACGGAAAGGGGCAGCACCGCTTAACTCGACCCCGGGTCGCGGGGCCCCCCAAAACACCGCGCACCAGAGGTCACTCTTACCCAGGGTCACTCCTGCGTGCAGCCGAATCTTCTGTCCGAGCAGTCTTTTCTGTTTTCGGGGCAGGCTTAGAGAACTTCTTTTCAGAAGGCCGGGGGACCTCCGAGCCTTCTGAGAAGGCCCGCCCCGTCTCAGTTTCCCCCCCCCGGGCGCGCCGCCGATTCACTCGAGCCCTGGCCCAGGCTGGAGCGGCGCGTGCTGGAGCAGGCCGGAGGGGCGCCCGCGAAAGCGTGCCTTCTCGGCAGCAGCGCCGCGTCGGCGGAGCCGGCGCGCCCCGGCGGAGCCGGCGCGCCGCGCCGGGCGCACGGGGCGCGGGGGGGGGGGCGGGCTGGAGGAGGCAGCTGGTTTCGGCCCCACCGAGGGGCCCATTCCTCGACGCATGGGCGCCTCCGGCGCCTGGAAGATCAGCTACGTGAGCTGATTCTCAAACCCCCCCTTTGCTATCCCCCCCCTTTTCGCCCGACCCGAGAGGGCGGCCGGGGAGAGGCCCGCCCGCGGAGCGTCGGCGGACTCGGCAGCGCTCGGACGTGTGCATTCATTCTCGGCGAGGGCCATCGAGGACCATCCTGGACCATCGAGCAAAACATTATATAAATAGAGAGAGACATAATGATAATAATAATAGTAGTAGTAGTAATAGTAATACTAATAATAATAGTAATGATGATGATGATGATAGAAATAATATTAATAATAAACATAATAATACTAATAAAAATAGTAATAATAGTAGAAATTGATAATCATGTTAATAATAATAATTCTAACATATCTAATAATAACAAGAATAATAATAACAATAACAATAATAGTAATCATAATAATTTTTGGAATAAAGATAAGAACAATAATAATAATCATCAGAATGATAAACGCACGAGGCCGAAAAGGGCACAGGGAATGGACGTCCGAGCGGCGGCAGGCGGAGGACGGGCGGGCGCGCGCAGGCGGCCGCGCCGGCCTGGGCCTCCCGGAAGGGGGGCCGGAGCAGACGGGGGTGGGCCGGAGGATCGCGCCGCATCGCCGATGCCTCGCCGATGCGTCGCTGATGTGGATCCCGATGTTTTGTCCACGCCGACGGCGCCGATGCCTCGCCGACGTCGCCGATGCATCGCTGGTGCATCGCCGATGCATCGCCGATGCATCGGCGATGCGGCGGGATCCTCCGACCCCATGTACGCCGACGTCGTCGTCGTCGCCGAAGTCTTCGCGTCGTCGTCGTCGAGGTCGCTCTCGTCGTCGTCGACGTCGCCATCGTGGTCGTCGTCATCGTCGTCATCGAGTTCGTTCTCGTCGTCGTCGTCGTCGTCGAGGTCTTCGCCGTCGTCGTCGTCGTCGTAGCCAGCGGAAGCACCTCGAGGGTCAAGAAGCAGATCCGTAGCCGCGGCCTCGCGAGCCGGGCCCGTTGGGCCGCGACCCCGTGGGTATGCGCGGCGCTTTTCTCCGCGGGTGCCCCGCGCGGAGAAGCGTGTCCGTGCGACCGCGTGTCCGCGGGATGGCGCCCCGGAATCCAGACCGCGGCGGGCGCGGATATGGGCACGTTTCGGCGACTGCGAGGGGTGAGGTTCCGCCGGGGTGTGGTCTGCGAGCGGCGCCGTGGGGACCTGGGGGGCACGACACTGTCCTCGTCGGGCCTCCTCGGGGCACGGCGGAGAGCTCAGTCGGGGTCCCCGCCCGCCCCACAGGGTGCCCCACAGGGCGCCAGTTGCAAACCACACCCTTTGCAAACCACACCCTTCGGAGTCGCCGAACGTTCGCCGCTCGTGAACAGCCACACCGGTCTTTCGTCGGGCCAGTCGGCGAGTCCTGAGTGCCCAGGATCCATGTCCAGACGCCCTCTTGGCCCAGGCAGGAGGGCGTGGATGGTTATATCGTACTGGCCTGCGGCCCGGGCCGCCTCCGTGCCTGGGGGATTGTGGGTCGGTGTCATCAGGGCTTGTCTGTTGGAGACTCTTGGGAGGCCTTCAGGAGCCTCTTGGACACAGTTTTGAGGACTCTTTGGGAGCCTTTCTGGGGCCTCTTTCGGGCCTCTTTCGGGCCTCTTTCGGGCCTCTTGGAGACCTCTTGGAGCCTCTTGGAGGCCTGCTGGCGGTATCAGGGGCCCTCTTGGGGCGTAGGGCGCGAAAATCAAGTTCGTGTTCCCCCTTCTGGGCCCCTCTTGTGCCGTCTTGGGGCCCTCTTGGGCCGTCGTGGAGGCCTCTTGAGTCATCTTGGGGCCTTCTGAAGCTGTTTGGGGGCCCTCATGGGGGCCTCTTGGGCCGTCTTGGATCGATGTTGGGAACCTCTGGGGACGGACGTCCTGGAGCGTCAGAAGAACGAAAATGCGAGAACACGACAGTCCGCACAAAAACCTTCTTGGAAAATGAATGATGTTGGGCATCTCGGGGCCCTCTTGAGAGTGCGTTTGGAGGCCTCTTGAGGCGTCTTGGACTCCCCTTGGGCCGTCTGGATGCCATCTGGAGCGTCTTGGACTGAACATTCGACAGCTCGGAGCCTTCTTGCACCGTCTGAAGGTCCTCTTGGGGTACTCTTGGCCCGAAAAATCATGCGACAAGACGCGGGGAACCGCGGGAGAGCCGCTGGGAGCCACAGGAAATGCAAGAATCTCGGACTCGGGCCACTTAATTGGGCCACTTAGTTTTTCATCCAGAGAACTGAGGACTGAGGACTACAAGGGACATGAGGACATTCCGATTCGTGTTTCGCGGCACGGTGGCGGATGCGTGTATGTACAAGTGGCACGTGTGTGCCCAGGCTCGTACAAGTGATGCAAGATGGGCTGGCGGAGTGAGCGAAGCGATTAACAAAAGAAGTGCAAGCACGATTCCCACCAGCCGATTTGTTTCACTAGACAGTTTGTGGAGAGGAGAAGAGGAGGATAGCTGCTGGGAGTGACATGCAATAGCGAGGTCGCACTCGAGCGCAAGTGGGGTTGCCACACCTTGCGATGTGTGTACCAGGGCCCCGCAGGAAGCCTCAGGAGGCCCGATTGGGACACCGGAAGAGACTCCAGGAGCCCCAGGATTTTGAGTGTTGTGTGGGTGTGTGTGTGTGTGTGATGTATGCTGTTTGTGCGTGTCTTCTGTGCGTTGTAGGTGTGTGTGTGTGTTATGTTTGTCTAGCGTGTGATGTGTTGGGTGTGATTTGCGTCTCTGTGTGTGCATGTAGTTCTGAGGCCCCAGGAGGCCCCAAGCGGCCTCAGGATGCCCCAGGAGACCCCAGGAGGCTCCAGGAGGCCCCAAGAGGCTCCAGGAGGCCGCAGGAGGCCCCAGGAGGCCCCAGGGTGCTCCAGGAGACCCCCAGGAGGCTCCAAGGCCGGGTCTGGGGCACCAGAAGGTACAGAAAGCCCCAGGAGGTTCCAGGAGCCCCCCAGGAGGTTCCGAGGCAGGGTCTGAGGTACCAGAAGGTACGTCGGGGCTCGATTTCGGGAGGATGTCTCAGGCGAAACCGCCATTCTCTGAGAATCGGGGTTAAGATCATTGAAATTACAATATGTTTTTGAAGGTTTTATGTTATAATGTTGAAATTCCTGTATGTTTTTGGACCCTGACGTCACGATCTGTGTGAGGGGCGCCACCGATTTGCATAATTTCGAGGATGTCCCCAGCGAAAAGGCAAGAAAAATCGCGAACGACGCGGCGCGTATGCATAAATCGCCTCTGAGCTTTACTCCCTCGGAGAGGTGCGTATGATGATGATATGTGTATATACGTATATATAGATATACATACATATATAAGTGTATATAAATGTATATGTATATATACATATACACGGAGTCAGAGAGAGAGAGAGAGAGAGAACAAACAGAGAGAGAAAGAGGGAAGGAGAGAGAAAGAAAGAGAGAGATGTACAAGGAACATCGCTCTTGTCGCGCGCCCAAGTTATAGCGCATGCTGGGGAGTGGTTAACAAGCGAGTGCGGCCACTGCACCGAAGAGCAGAACGACTCATAGATAATCAGTATCATGGTCAAGGTCCTGATCGTTACCGTCATCGTCACCGACGCCATTCAGAACATTGCATCATCAGCATGAGAATCAGCATCAGCATTATCATCAGCATCATCATTGTCATCGTCATCGTCATCATCACCATCATCATCATCATCGTCGTCATCATCACCGTCCTTACCCTCATCCTCAGAGTGGGCACGTGGAAGGTGTAGACCCACTTCTCCAACACAATCTTTTCCGTTCTGAGGGAGGCCGTGGGCAGGTGAAAGGTGAAGCCCCACGGACCTTTCGGGTATTTCCTTCACGCTGGAGCTCGTCCGACATGGACGCTGCCCTCCGACTGTTGGGAGCACCGCGGCAGCAGAGAGGCCCCTCAGCCTGATGAGCCGCAACGGTGTACGAGCCACGCATCGCGCACTGACGCTCGGGTGTAGCCCGATCCCAGTGGGCGCTTTCTGAATGGGGGGAATCCTGCAGGCCCCAATGGGTTCTGACCTGATCCTCCTCCTCCTCCTCCTCCTCATCGTCATCATCATCACCACCATCATCATCATCGCCATCATCGTCATCATCAGCATCATCAGCATCAGCATCAGCATCGCCATCATGACCATCATCACCATCAGCAGCATGACTCCGTCGTAGACAGCGTCAGCATCATCATCATCATCATCATCATCAACAACAACAACAACAACAGCACAATGATCATCATTACTCTCATCATCCGCGTCGTCGTCGCCACCATCGTCGCCATCGTCACCATCATGATTATCATCGTCGTCATCGTCACGTGAGAGCTCTCTCGCGCAGTTGCACTGCTGTTGGAGCTTTCCTTGACCGCGCTGGCCCTCGTGGGAGTGTTCTTGGAGGCATGTTGGGTCGTCTTGGAGGCCTGTTTGGGCCGATGGGAGGCCGTCTGGGGCGTGTTGAGCACCTAGCGATTGGGGGCGTTCTTGGAGTGTCTGGGGCCCTGGGGGCTCTATTGGCCTGTCTGGGGGCCCTCTGGGACGCCTCAAAGGCGCCTCGGGGGCAGTCTTGCGACACCCAGGAGCTGCATTGGCACCCTGGGGGCGTCTGAGGCTGTCCTGGTGCGACCTTGAGAGCCTCTTGGGCTGTCTGGGAGTGTGGAGAAGCCGGAAAGAGTGGTATTTGAAATTCGTTTTCGAGAACAAATGAGAATCCATTCTTTGTGGTTATTGGAACTTTGGGCGTGCTTTTGGAGGCATTTTGAGGCGTCTTGGAGGCCTGT